GAAAGGGGGTGGCCTTTGCTTTCAGCTCTGAAAATACACAGCAAAGGCTTCTCCCAAGACCTTGGCGTCCTTGGGCAGGGCCTGCAAGCTTGGCCTCCTACGGGCCAGAGCAAGTGGGGAGGAGCCCGCTAAGAGCGACTGCCACAGGGGAGGACACCTCAGGAAATCATGCATCTGCTTCATGCCTGCACCTCCCCAGAACTCCCAGCCCCACCCCAGCCGGAGCACCTAGCTCCTCACTGCATCATCTGGGTGTGTTCGCAGCTTGGCAGGCAGTGGTTTGTCTGAGTTAGAAAGTGGGGAGGGGTATTCATGGGAATCCAGTGGTGACCCTCACCCATGAAGAATGTCCGGTGGCCACCAGGCAGTGGCCACAGAGATGTCCTGTCTTTGCCTCCCAGGGTGCTGGGGGAGGTGGAGCTTCAGGGGGACAAACACAGAACGAGCAGGAGAGCAGGGCGTGGGGCCAGCTCACCTTGTTTTTCATGAACAGCGATTTTCTCTGTTGCTTGGGCATCTTTCTCCCTATCGCCTGCTTCTTGAGGTATTTTTGCTTGGCCAGTAATACTTTCTGGGGGTCCACACCTGTCTGGGGGCAGAGAGCCAACAGCAATGCTGGCTTCCCCCTCTCAGGAGGAGTCTGCTCTCAGCTCCCCGCCCCATCCACCCCTTGTATTCCGGGCTGCATCTTTGCCCAGCTCCTTGCTTGCCAGGGACTGACCGAGCCTTACCTTGGCAATGACTTTCTGCCTGAAGATCTCTGAGTTGGCAAAGTAGAGAGGGGAGCAGTAAGTGACGATCTTAACCCCCGCAATTTCCTGGACCTGTGACCAGAAGACTGGGCTCAGGGAGCAGAACTCTCCTTGTTGGCGGTTTTAAAACAGCCACCAGAAAACGCGCCACCCTGGGATGAGGACGGAACCAAAGTGGGGAGGTCCCAAGCTGGGGTTTCATACCCTATTGTAGGTCTTAGGGTTCACATAGAGGTCCGTCTCCATGACCTGGGCCAGGGTGTAGCCATTTCGACTGGAAGGAGGAGGAAACGGACAACTTAAGGGCAGGCCCCTGGCATACGGGCCCAGAAGGATGCTGAGGAGCCAGGGCAAGCGACTGGGCAGGTGCGGGTCCCTTCCTCATCCTCAGGCTTGTTTGTCTTATGGCTTGTGGTTGGGCTGCAGCTAAAGACACGGCAGGCTGGGCCACACAGGACCTCGAGCTCTATGGCCCCTGAAGTCACCCCTTGCACGAGTTCTCAAGGAAAGACGTCAGGATTTCTTTCACCGACTGCATGCTCCTTGCCCTGGGCATGGGGTCTCCAGCCTGCCTACTCAGTCTAGTCCCAGGAAGGGCGCTGCAGCTGTCCTGTGTCCGGCTCTGCTCCTGGGTGGTCGGGTTCTCTGGCCCACTGTCCTCCACATTGCCTGGTTCCTTCCCCGAAGTCCTCAGGACCACGTGACTCGCTGCCGGGTAGTTAGGGCATGGGAGCTTAGGCAGACCACCCTGTGCGCACAGTCCTAGTTGGGCTTGGTCCTCCCTGGTCTCAGTGCAGGCCCAGGAGGTAGAAGAGCCTGCGGGGCTGGGCCAGCCCTGGGGCTGGGAGTCCTTGGCAGCCGGGACTGGGAGCCTGCACCGCTTTGCGTTGATGGGAGGTGGGTATTACTTACAACTGGGTCTGGAAGATCACAACCAGCACGGAGAAGGCCACGCCGACTGCCACGCCGTAGGGCAGGCTCAGGAAGAAGGAGGCCAGGAAGCTCACCACCCAGACGCACTGCGAGGAGACAGACGGCAGTCAGAAGCAGGCCTGGAGAAGGCCGCCTCGCTCAGGACGGCTTTTCTAGGTGAGCAGCAGGCACCTTGGCGGCACAGTGGGTTGCGAGTTGGGCCTCTCACCACAAGGTCAGTGGGTCAAACTCACCCGCTGCTCTGTGGTAGAAAGAGGAGGCTTTCTGCTCCCGTAAAGAGCTACCATCTCGGAAACCCACGGGGGCAGGTCTACTCTGTTCTATAGGTTGGAATCAACCCGGGGCGGAGAGTTTCGGCGGGAGCAAGGCCATTCCTTCTCTGCCAGCGCCAACCTCAGGCACAGCGGGTCCTTTTCTCTGTCTTTTGTACTGGGATGTGTTTGTTAGACCAGCCTGCACGGAGTGTGGCCCTGAGCTTGTGTTTGTTTAACAGACAATGGCAGATCATGCAGGGAAGCAGTGGGGCACGGTGCCCGCATGAGCCTC